GGCTTATTATTTATTTAATCAATAGTTTATAGAAGCATAGATGGAGTCTAGATATAATTTGGTTATAAATCTTAATTAGATCTGGACCAGACTAGACTAGTAGCACTATGTAGCAGTATATGGTTGCACACAGGGCAACTAAAAATTTTACCTCCCTCACTGCAACCATTTTGGTTGCGCATGTGACAACACACTTATGTGCCTTGCCCTGAGTGCAACCAACAAGAAATCAGACTTGTCTATCGCATTTAACACATTTCACAGTGTTTACAGTCTATTTTAACCTTTACACAACCTCATTACAACGTTTGCAACTCATTCACGCCAAATACTAAGCATAAATAACACAGTCAACAACTTACCTTAAAATTTCACAAACAGATGTTTTTTTTCCGTCGAACTTTCGCTGTTGATACCGGCTTACAAAATGGCTGTAAATGATCCGGAAGTAAAAGAAGCTAAAAGGTAGACCAAAGGGAGTCTACTGAGTATAACTTTGTTTTAATATATCGCCTACATCGAGAGTTAAGTAAAGTGGTTGCTCAAAGGACTGGTTGCACAGGGGGCGAGTTACTCTATTCTTTTACTAGAGGGCGCAACGCAATCATGTTGCGCGTGTAAAATACTGTTCATTCTACGTTTGGAGCTCCAATTCAAATATTATTGCCAGTACACTCACACACTGCGTCAAAGTGAATCATCTAGATTTTATTTTTTTTGCATTTGGTGTGCACGTGATCAAGCAAATCTGATCAGGGATGCAAAATTAAATGCACACATTTTCAACAATTCTTAATTAACAATCAATACCGACACAAGATTTGACAAACACTGTCCATTGTTCAAACTGCATATGGTCTTCGAAGAACTTACTCCTTTTGTCTTCAAATTTGATGAAGACATCGGGTTGCATAATTGTTCGTACAGTTTGATGTCGTCATTCATGGGCGCCCGCAGGTAGGGGCAAGGTGGGGCACTTGCCCCCCCCCCTCTTGGATTGATTGGATAAAAAAAAATTAGACAAAAATAGACAAAAAATGTATTAAAGTAAAGAGAAAATAAAGAGAAAGTAACTAAGCTGATGTCCTGTCCGTTCGTTCACCATACAAATACGCTACAGTAAATTAAAACTATATTAAAACATTACTA